GTGTATGTTGAGCCATCCCTGCATCCCTGGGATGAATCCCACTTGGTCAGGGTGTATGATCTTCTTGATGATCTTCTGCATTCTATTTGCCAGTAAGGATATGGACACTTTCCTGGGGCACCTGCCCCAGGCCTGGCTGTTGCTGCCCTTCCCTGCCTTCACTGAGAGAAAAGGGGCCCTGCTAAAGGTATCCCCTGACTCTCACAGCCCCCTCATTCCATCCCCTTCTCCATCCTAGCCTGGGTTCCTGTGAAATTGACAACCAGACTGCCAAAGACCTCGCTGCCAGCTTCATGCTCTGCCCAGCCCTGGAGGAAATCCTGTGAGTGCTTCAGTGAGCCAGAGCTGGGGTAGCAGGTGTCTGGGGGTGGCCACCACCCAACACATGGCCTGGAGCTGTCCCTTCCTCTCTGGCTGGGCCTCCCAACTGTAGGTGGGGAAGATCATCCTTGCTCAAGCCTCCTCTCAGGGAAGTTTGGCCCCATGAGTTCCAGTGACGTTGAGCAAATCCATCCCTCCTCTCCTGTCTGTTTCCCATCTGTGGGGAATGAGAGGAGAGGTGGTCCAGATGGTCTCTAAGGGTTCTCAGCCCCTGACCTTCCCTTTGGGTACCACTGTGCCTGGTTTGTGGAGCCTTCTTTTTATGAACCATGCTGGTAGTGAAGAGTGGCCAAAGCTGGTGGACACTACTAACCCCAAAGCAGTCACACTGGCTGTGTCCAGCTGCCTCTTGCTCAGACCTTGAGGCCTTGCAGCACTGCCTCACAGATGAGCCAACTGCCAGGACTAGGCTGGCACCCTAACCACGTTGTGGAGGAAAATGATACCTCTGCAGGTGCAGGGCACAAGTGATTGCAAATGGGTTTCAGATTTGCACCCTAAAAGTCCTCACACTTCTCCTTAGCCAAAGAGGAAGCCTCAGATCAGTACTAACTCACCTTTCACACCCATACTGGTGACCCTCCCTTTTTAAGTAACAGGAGTAGGGTGCAGACTTAGCATTTTAAGAAGGACACAAGTTTCAGCTAAGTTACTTCAATAGTTCGCCCTGAGTTTATCCTTGGCAACTACCTTGTATGTAGGGTCCTTCACACGAGGTTTCCATTGACAGTGGGGATAAATATTTCCTTTTAAGATTAGTTTCATTTTCTTCCTTTCTTTCTCTCTCTCTCTTTTGCTCTCTTTCTTTCTCTCTTCCAAGTACTGGAGACTGAACCCAAAGCCTTTGCACTGAGCTACATCCCCAGCCCTTTTTTATTTTATTTCAATACAGGGTCTCACTAAATCACTAAATTGTCCAGGATGGGCTTGAACTTGTGACCCTTCCATCTCATCCTCCCAGAGTACTGAAATTATAGGCTATGATTAATCTCTTCAAGTGAAGAAGGCAGCTCATTATAAAGAAAAATGTGACACACACAAGAATATGGGAGATGCATAGATGTGGCAAAAGTCATGATGAAGTGCCTGTGCAGTGGAAGTCTGCTTCACGGCAGTGTAGCCTTGGCTCCTGTGTTCTGGAGAACAGAGTAGCTTCGAGGAGGGGTCACCTGTGCTGGAAGCCTTCAGGGGAAGGTGCTTGAGTGCCCTGATAGTGGCCTCTCTCCTATCTGCACACACATCCTGGCCCCACTGGCTCCCAGCCCTCCACACGTGCTGACTCACCATCCTTGGGCTGCATGGCTCCCACCCCTCTTTTGCTGACCTCGGCATCCTACCTTGCAGGCTGTCCTGGAATCTCCTGGGGGACGAGGCAGCTGCTGAGCTGGCCCAGGTTCTGCCACGGTTGGGCCGACTGAAGAGAGTGGAGTATGAGGGGACACCTAGGGCAGGGTGGGCTGAAGGATGGGCCCTGTGCCCTGGAGGAAGCCCAGAAACCACTGGGCCTATCCCAGACTCCCATAAGCCCTCCAGGAGTTGGTCCAGCACAGGCTGAGCTTAGTTCTCCTGGGCTCAAGCCCTTGGCCTTCCTGCTGCACAGCTGGATGTCAGTAGTGTGGGGAGGGTGTGTCCCCTCTTGGCCTAGGGAAGGGACATAGGGAAGCCCTCATGGCTCTCTCTCTCTCTCTCTCCTTCCTTTGACATCCACTGAGAAGCCTGGAGAAGAACTGGATCACAGCTGCTGGAGCCTGGCTCCTGGCTAAAGGGCTGGCCCAGGCATCTGGTGTCCATGTCATCCGGTAACAGAGACTTGGAGGGGCAGGGGTGGTGGGTGGGAGGCCATGCCAAGCCCCACAACCTAAGGGGACTCCCTGTAGGAAGAGGCAGGGCTTGGGTTGAGGCTTTGACCACTCCACCAAGAATTTGGCAGCAAGAAGACCAGGATCAAATCCCAGCTCTGCTATTTGCTAATTGTGTTAACTGCATCAGTAATGCAACCTCTCTGGAACTCAATTTCCTCATTTGTAAAATGGGGATAATGGTGGTATCTATCTCAAAGTTTTGTGAGCATATAAAATTAGTATAAAGGACACTGTATCAGCACACAATAAGCACTTAAATGGCAGCTATAATCAGACCACCACCTGTAGTTTTATAGGTTGGGCACTAAACATGGACGTTGCATCTGAGGAACACCATTCATGTCGCAGACACATTAGATTTCTAGTAGATGGTGGTAAAGTATCTTGTTCTATCAGAACCAATCTATTAGGATGATTTCAGAGAATGGAGCATTTTCCTTATTTGTACGAATGTGTTCTATGAGTATGATGGGGTTGGAACAGTGGGAGGAGTCAGAAGGTGCGTGTAGGGGACACCATCTCCCCAGGGCAGCTGTGCTGCCTACACTGCCTCTGTCAGGTAATTCTGGGTATGGTCCTTCCCCTTTGGGGACCCAGCCTCCCTGTCTGTACTCAGGACGGGGCAGAGACAAGAAGACAAATGAGAAGCGCCAGGACCTAATCCTGTCTCTGTGCCCACAGCCTCTGGAACAACCTCATTCCCCCTGCCGTGGCCCAGCGTCTGCAGAGCCAAGAGCCCAGGCTGGACTTCGCCTTCTTTGACAACCAGCCCCAGGGCCCCCGGGATACTTGATGACCTTCTCAAGACTTTCAGAATCCAGCCAAATGATGCCAATGTCACCTAGAGAGAGGGCTCAAGAAAGTATGCTCAGCTGGTGCCCTGCACCTGCTTCAGAAAGGGGGAGATGTGTTCATCCTGCTGTGGTCTTCAGGATGGACCATTTGGGGGCCTAGGAGCTTCGTGTGGCTAAAGCATTACCATGCATCATGCATGATGTGAGTGACCCATGAAGATGTGTGGCAGAGTGAGGGTGTCATGACTAGTACAGACATCAAAGGGCATACGTGGCAGTGTATGACCTGTTGACATGTGGTATTACATGGAATTGCAGTGTGACACATGGTCAGTGGCATGAGTTCTAGCACTACGGGTGGTAGGATATGTGATTGTTGATCTATATATGACACAAGTGTCCATGTCACATGATACATGGCTTGCCAGATAACTGCAGGCAAGCCTGAGATCTAATTATTACTTTTTAAAAAAGAAAATATGTATTTATAGATTGTATTTCCAGAGCAGCTGATCCAGGGAGAGCTTTCTGCCCTGAACTGGGAGAGGAAGAGTATCTAAGTACTGTCTGGCCCATGTCTGGCCATGCTGGAGATTTAGCCATGAAGTCTCCTTCTGCCTCAAACCTCAGTTTCCCCATATGTAAACTGAGTAAACTAGCTTCCAAGGATTTTAGGCCTGGGCTCAGGTAGAGCCAGTCTGACTTGGAAGAGATCAGGCCTATTCTGTCCTATGCAAGGGACAAATTCAGGTCCCTTAGGAAAAGGTCATTACGCAAAGTCATTGGGTCAGTCCACTACCTCAGCAGGGATCCAGGTGAGCACCACATGTTTAGCAGTGTTCTGGTGCTCTTCCAAGAGGGGCCATGGAAGGCCCTGCTGTACTTCAAGCAGTCTGATCAATAAATAGAGATGCTTTCCAGCCTCTAGCTTGAGTCTGACGTTGCCTGCTACCCTCCTGAGGTGGAAAGTGGTTCACTCTCTGCCCCAGGCCTGGTGAGCAGGGCAGATAGATGACAGGTATGCTGAAGAGCAATGTTGGGCTAGGAGTCAGGAGACAGGTTCAAGTTCACGCTCTGTCTCTGAATGGTCACATGATTGTGGGCAACTTACTTCCTCTCTCCAGACTTCACCTGCAACACAAAGGTGTTCCAGAAGCTCAAAATGTTAGAAACAGTTTTTGTTTAACTTGAGTATCTTTAAACTCTTTTATGAGTTAATCGTACTTCAAATTGGAAACTCTCCCATAAAAATCCAGACTGACTTCTCCCAAGTGCTAGTGCAGCCTTCCCACTCAAGAGTCATCTGCAGGGCCATGTGGCAGTACCTTAGCTAGGGAACACACACCCCAGGCTGCTGCAGCCCCATGTCTCCCCCTCATCTTGATACCTGCCACCTGCCCCCACCTTTTGCAGCCTGGAGACTCCAGGCCTGAAGGATTTGCACGTGTGTGACACATTAGGAACATGGTTTGGAGTTTGGAGACAGCAGGGGATGTGACTACCTGCCTCAGAAGAAGGAACTGTTTCTTTGCATGGGTCAGTAACACACACACGGAGGACTATGGGTAAGATCAGGGAAGCAAGAAAGGTGTGCCAAGGCCCTGGTACAAAGAAGTCATACTAATTCCCTTCCCTTCTGAGGATTGATATCATGTGGCATGGAGAGATGTCCCAAATGAGAGGAGAACTCTATCGCCTGTCTGTGGGTAGAACAAGCAGAGCTCAGGGGAGCCTCCCACCCCATTCTAAAATGCTAGGCCAGTGGGATGCAGTTATGACTGAGCACCACTGGAGGGCAGCCTGACCCACTGGCAGTTCCAGAGATAACTTCCTTCACCATTGGAGCCAGGAAGTTAAGTGATTCAAGGAGTTCTTCCCACCTGGCTAGGAACTTGGGATGTCCCAGTCTGCTAGGGGTTCACCAGGATGAAGTGGCCCTGACCTTTGCCTTCCACCATGTTATCTCCAGCCTCCTGGCAAACATAGAGAAAAAGTCCCCTTCTGGCCAAGTGGCAAGCCCCCATATGATGCAGAGGCACACCCTTATTTGGCCAGGGTCAGGGAACACCTGGTCCTAAGGAAGTTAACTCATGTTCCAGCAGTTCCAGCAGTTCCCTGAATAAACCACAGCCTGGTCACCACTGCAGGACCTGCTGTGCCCCACCAAAGTATGAAATGTCCTCATTTGTTTCCTTAAGAAACCTCCTTTCTGGCCACCTGTTTGCTTGGAAGCCTTGACTACTTTTCTCCCTGCATCCTGCTTCCTCAAAGTAGGCTCAGTTTAAATAGATATATGAAAACAAATAAAATTCAAAGAGCAATAAAGCCATGGCTAACCAGTAACCGGTGTGACCTACATGGTGCTCCCAGGCTCCCACGTCTGCTTGGGAGGTTTCTTTCCAAGGATGTGAGGGTCTGGTAGCACCTATGTCTCCTGAAGTGCTGGATAAAGCTCAGGGGGCTGTTTACTCACCTGGCCGCCTTCTTATGGCTTACATGTGAATGTCCGGCTTTCTGATGGGAGCCACAAAATCCCTCTTCCCATCTACACAGGCCTTAAGTCCTCTTAAATGGCCTTGTCTGTCCTTCTCTGAACAACCACTGCTGTCTGGAATCAATGTCCAAATCGGTGCCCCCCAAACTAATACTCACGGTTACAGATACAACAAGGTGCTCCAATTCACCTTGTTAACATTTGGATTCTGGTTCAGCAGGTGTGGGAGGACCCTGGAACTCTGCATTTCTAAGAAGGCCCCAAGTGACACTACTGCTGCAGGACCACACACTTAGTGAGACCATAGACTGGTGAATAGATTGCAGCCCTGGCTGTGCCGTAGTCACCTAGGGAGTTGGGAGGGGTTTTTTTCTTGTACTGGGAGTTAAATTCAGGACTGCATCTTCAAGCCCTTTTGTATTTTGAGACAAGGTCTCACTAAATAACTAAGTTGCCCAGGCTACCAGAGTGCTTGCATTACCACACCCAGCTTAGGGAGCTTTTTAAACTACCTATTTTTAAGAAGAACATTTGGCAGGGGCTGGAGCTCAATAGTAGAATGCTTGCCTAGCATGTGTGAGGCCCTGGCTTTGATCCCCAGCACTATGAAAAAAATGAGAAGAGCATTTAGAAAACTCACTGAGTGCTTCTGTTTTGCAGCTACATGGAGCCATGGGATGGGAGCAGGCTATGTCTTGGGAGGTTGGGGCTTGAGCAAGCCTTTCCACCTATACTCCTATTTTTGTCCTGAGGACCCTGGGGACCCTACTTCCACAGATGAGGACACAGCCTTACAGATTTTTTCCTAACACTCAGCACAAAGCTGGTAACTGGTAGCACTGGGATTCAAACCAGGGTCTTTGTGACTGTGACACCCTCAGGTGTTTCTCTGGTGTCCTCATCTGTATAGTGAGAGGATGAAACAGAGCACTAGCAGCCACCTTCTTTGGCTGCAAAGATGACCTAATGGCTAATTTCTTCACTCCCCTGGGAAGAATTCTGGACCTCCGGGTTATGAGTACAGAGAATCACCATCCCTGGCCTCTAGACCCACAGCAACATTCTCAGTGACAACCTCCCTATTGTACAGATGAGAAAGTGGAGGCCTGGAGAGGGAGCCAGATTTGTCCAGCATCACACAATATTTAGCAAGTCTCATATTTCAACCCTGAAGGCAAAAGAAAGGGGGACTTTGGGGTGGTCCTCGGCTGGGAATCAAACTGTTGAGCAGGTCCGCATGCTCTCCAGCGAGAGGGGGACCCCAGGAAGGTGAAAAGCCGTGCACCCTTCCTGGGCCCTGCTTCTGCCAGCCCAGGCCTGAGGAATGATGACCCCAGCCAGAGCAGGACATGCCCTCTGGCCATATCAGGAGATCACAGGAAGGACCATTCAGTGGCTGACCAGGTCAAGGTCCTCCCAGGGCTGTGCTCAGGAAGTCCAGAGACAATTGCATTTCTTTCCACTCCAGCTCAGTTGAGAAACCCCAGTTCCACCCCACCCAGCACATCTCCCAGCCACCAGCATCCTCTCCTCACCCTTGGAAGCCACATTTGGTGGCTCATCCCCCATAAATTCCAACTTCACTCTGCCTTTGCTTTGATGAACAGAGGAGCAGTTTTTCCAGAAAACCGAGTCAACTGGGGGTCCCCTGGGTTAGGAAACTGGGGCCAGAAGCATTAGCATCCTGGGCTTGGCCCCTGGTGCTACAATAGCAATAACACATGAATCCCAGGAGCTGCACATGCCTGGTGCCCTGCTGGCCACAGCGCAGTCTCATGGAACTCCACACTGCCATCCTGTGGGGCAATACTAAGTCCATCCCCCTTTTACAGAGAAGGACACGGAGCCCCAGGGGACTGAGTGATCTCACCAGGCAGTCCCTGAATTCAAACTCAGATTTGGCACTTAAGTCAGCTTCCTCTGTGACATCCCTGAGGGACAGGTTTCTGAATCAATTCCCTGGGGGTGGGAGGGAGTAGTTGCTAAAGGTGGCCATCTAATATTTCCTATCTCACCTGCTCTTCCTACTAGGTGACAATGACATTCCTCTGTGACATCATGGTACTTCCAAGGCTAAGTCCTATCAAAGCTTCCCCCTGGTTCTTGGAACTCAGCACCAGGCCACAAGGAAGCCCAGGCCATGTGGAATGGCCATGGGTAGGTGCTTCATGATATCTTTGGTTGAGGTCCAAGTGGACATTTGGTGTCAATGGCCAGATGTGTTTGAAAGAACCTTCTAGTTGGTTCCAGCCCCAGTCATAATTGGATTGCAGCTGTTTAAGAAACGGCAAGAATTCCCCTCACTGAGCCAGGCTGATCCCCAGAACCATGACAGACAAGGTTTGGGGTGGCTGGGGATGCAGCACAGATGACTAGAACACCCTCCCTCCCATCTCCCACACCTGAGGCCTGGCCTGGCCTGGTAAACAGGTGTGCTCTCTCAAGTTATCTCTAATTCCCAAGCACCTGAAGTGTACAGGCCATCTGTTTTTCCTGTTTGTCCAAACCTTCTGGATTACAGAAATGATAAACACTGGGTAGAAGGTACTGACATGAACTTAGAGCTTATTCAGGGGAATTCAGGCCTCCTACTGTGCAGACAGTAGGGAAAGGGAAGGCTACATTCCATACTTTGCAGTCTTGTGTTGTTCAAGGACAGAGTGGGTAGAATCAACATGTGATAGACACTTGGTCTTTGTCAACTAACCTCTGGGCTCCTCTGATCCCTGACTTTGCTTTTAAGACAGCTCTATTGAGATATAATCCGCATATCAAGATATTCACTCCTTTATAGTGCATAAGTCAATGGCTGTGAGTATGTTGAAAGTTATGCAACCATTGCTACAATCTAATTTGGGAACATTTTTATCATCCCCTGTATCAATAGAAACCCTGTATCAGTAGCAAGTATCCCTGGTTCTCATCAGCCAGGCCTAGGCTACTACAAATCCACTATCTCTATAGATTTGTCTATTCCAGACATTTCATCTAAATGGAATCATAATATATGTGGTCTTGTAATAGGGACCTAGAGGCTGGGCCTGCAGACACCCAGTGGTAACTAAAAGCAGGATAAAGCTTGACATCTCTGTCTTCATTTGTATCTGCCTCCTTTGTTACTTAAAACTCTGGGTGAGATCCCGCTCAGCTCTGCATGTAGCATGTTAATCACTTAAGGAGTGTCTGTATTGCAAGGTTTAGTCCCAAACTTACCTAGCCTATCTTATTCCCATTCAAGACTGAGGACACCAAGGTAAGAATAACTAATTTTCAGGATTTGAAGGGACGTCCAATTGCCAGTTTTTATAATGTCTAGTTCCAGATCCTCTAGACCAATGCCTAGAAGTCTCCAGTCATTGTTCTACACCCATAGTCATCTCGGACTTCAGGAAAAGCAGAGCCTGGCAGATCACCCCATGATGAGGTCACCCCCTGAGGAGGAGCACTGACCCCATGAAGGGAACCCAAGCTGCCCCCTAAGCAGGAGCCATATATTATAACAGGAGCTGAACTGCCCCCTCAACCAATGATGGCTTTCCTAGGACTTCTCAGAACCTGTCCTGAGATATCAAACAACCAGACCATGACTTAACCAGGATTACTCACCCTTCTAGCTGTGCACACCTCCAATTGCTCCTGTTCTACAAAACCCCAGAGCTTCTGGCAGTCCCTGAACCCCTTTATCTCTCCTTCCCAGCATAGCTGTGCTGATTAAGGTTCCTCTTTTCCTGCCTTTCACCATTGCTCAGCTCTTTGACTGCCATTATGGAAAGGGTGGCCAAGCTTGGTCTTCTGGGATCCCCAGGTTTTTTCCATAAAACTCCAGTAATGGTCTTTCGTGACAGGTTCCTTTTGCTTAGTATAACATTTTCAACATCTGTGGAACTTGTCAGTCCTTCATAACTTTCTTAGTCTGAATGATATTCCATGGCATTGGAATAAAAACCATTCCATGGTTTTCTTTCTCCCTTCAGCAGTTGATGTGCATTGGGTTATTTGCACACACACACACACCCTGCCAGCACTGGATATTGAGCTCAGGGCCTTCACACTAAGCTACATACCTATCCCTTGTTTATTCCTTAAATTCTGAGACAGAATCTCACTGAAATCACTAAGTAGCCAAGGCTGGGCTCAAACTTGATCCTCCTGCCTCAGTCTCCCAGAGTGCTAGGGTTACAGATACACAATACCACGCCTGACTGGGTTTCCACTTTGGGGCATTTGTAAATCATGCCATTACCAACCAACCTTCATGTATGAGATTTTGTATGGACACCTTTTGGTTTCTCTTGAGCAGATAGCTAGGAGTAGAATTACTGTGACCTCTTGCCTTTGCACTCTGTCCCATTGGTCAGGGATGCAGTCTGTATCTTTTCCCCGTTCGGGTCTCTTAGAGGAGGTGCCGCTGACTCCTGCTGACTCTTGTGGCCCAATTGGGCCTGTTGTGCAACCTGACTCCAACCCTTGCACTTTTCATTCAGTACTATAACTGCATGGGCTCTGGACTTGCCCAACTTGAGAGCTCTATCTGTTGGTCACCACCATCCACACCTGCCTGGCTCTCCTGCAGCAGGAAGGAGTGAGGGATTCTGGGGCAGGGCAATGGGACAGGCTTCCCGAAGGAAGTTGTGCTGGACCCGGATCTAAGAAGTTCCACAGGTTGGTTTGCCCCAGAGCTGGGCTGAGGGTTTGGAAGACTTCAGCTGGAAAAAGAGGCTTGGAGAAAGGCAGGGTGCACAGGTAGGCAAAGAACAAAGCTCAGAACCCTGGGGCTGTTTGGTGGCTGCCCCTCTAAGGCTACAAAGTGCCTGTGACTCAGACGGGGGTGGGGTTTGTGCGGGGGGGGGGGGGTGCAGACTGCCGATTGAAGCTCCCTTGTTAACCCTCACCTGCTCAGAATGGAAAGGCAACCCAAGCGCCAGACCTTAATCCTCAGCCCCCCAGTCCTTGCACCCTAGCACCACCGGCTCTGAGCAGGGCCTTGAGATCCTCCTTACAGTCGCACCTTCCAGAATCTGGTGAAAAGAGGCTCAGTTGTAGGATGCGGAAGCCGAGTGGTTAACTTGTCCGGAGGGCACAAAAATAACACTCAGCGGCCCGTAGCTGGAGTGCCCAGACTACACGCTCATTTCTTAAGAACCTGTGCCTCAGCCTTCACAGAAACCGTAAGGAGCCTTAACGACAACGAACTGCTGCCACTCTGACTGGCCCAGAGCCCCATTCCTATCATCTTTATCTTATCGTCTGTGTCAGAGAATATGTGTCATCCTCCCGGTCTCTGGCGGCAAGAAAATGCTATTGAGAGAAAAAATAATAATACAAAAGAAGAAAACACTGCGGTCCTAGCGCTGCCCCACCAGTCCAGAGCCAGCGGTGCGGCGTTTCCCCCGAGGGCGCCGCGTAGCGCCCCGCTGGTGCTTGAAGTCGAGGCCGCAGGCTGCGCTGGGGACCCCGCAAGCCGGGTGGACCTCACCCCTCGGTTCCCGCGTCCAGAGCCCAGTGCACAGAGTTCGCAAAGCCCGGAGTCTTGACGCCCAGGCGAAGCAGGCCCGGGGCCGGCGCGAACCCGCGGCGCCGCGGCCCGCCGAGTTCCCGTGGGGACGTTCGCGCCCTCGCGCTCCCGCCTTGAAGGTTCGGACCCTCCGTGCTGGGCCTCGAGGGTTCGGGACCCGCGGGGCCCGGAGTGCCAGGGCGCGCCCGCTCCGCCCGAGGAGAGCGCTCGCCCCTCCAGGAAGCGCCCGCCTCGCCTCCCGCTTCCCTCCCTGCACCCGCCCTCGGCCGGAGGGAGGAGCCCGAGCCGCCGCCACCGCCCGCCCGCTGGCCCGGGAGGAGGATCGGCCCCGGGAGCGCACGCGAGCGGGTCACGCCGCGCGGGCAGCGCCCGAGCCGTCCCGCACTCGCGCCGGGCCAAGCAGCGGAGCGCCCGGGGATGCCACAGGGGCCCGGAGCGCGGGGAGCGGCCGCCGCGTGCTGAGCCGCCAGCGGGACGCGTGGTAAGTGGGGCCGGCGGGAAGGCGAGGGCGGGCGGGGCAGTCTGGCGCGGACGCCCAAGTTCGGCCCTGGGGCTCGGCTTCTAGCGCGGCGGGCGGGCCTGGGCGGGCCTGAAGGTCGCTGGGTTCCGCCTAGGAGGGTGCGGCACCCCAAGCCCCAGCCGCCGGCTTGTGCCGAGACTCGGCGCTTAGGTGACTCAGCTTCGACCCGGCCACGCGGGGGCGCTCCACCTTCGCCCCGACACGGGGTAAGGAAAGGCCGGCCGACGGTGGCGCCCTGAGGGGCTATTGTGGGGATCCATAGGCCTTCCCCTGGGGATCCTGGGGGGACGTCTGGAAGCCGATGAAGGCGAGACGTTGAAGTGGCCCCTGGCAAGTGTGCCCTGCTCAACTCCCATCCCCACACGGGTCCTGCCCCAGGGAGCTGTCTGAGGGCCACCTCCAGCTGGGGGAAGGGGGAGGCAGGGAGCAGAGAGGGGGAGTAGAGCTGGGCAGCTTCCCAGAAGTGTGTGTTTCGGAATGTGTTTGCAAACTAGTTTTTGCGCAAAAGCTGTCTGGCACCTGTGTGTTTAAAGGCGTGGGGGAGGGAGAGGACCTTTCTTCTTTCCTGCCCGGCAGAGTTAGTTCCATGCTTGGTGGAAAATAAAGGACTCTTACTCTCTTCAGTGTCTGCCCCTCTGCTTCAGTAAGCTCTCCCTTTGGGTGAGGGGCTGCCTGAAAGGGGTCCTGAGATTTGCCCAAGATCATAGGTACAGTAGGACCCCAGGGTGCTGGTGGCAATTAGGGTTTCATCTTGCTATCTGATAAGCCCCATAAGTCTTTGGGGGAAGGGGCCAAGGCAAGAGGTCTGGGAAAACTATTCCAGCTGCCCTTTGTTTTTTCTGCCCGAAGGTTTGGATCATGTAGGATGAGGTATCACCAAGGGATTGGGGCTCATTGTGCCTCTTGGGGCACCCTCACCTGTGATTGGTGGCATCATTGCCAAGCAAGGTCCCCTACTGAGGAGCCCCCAGCCAGGTGACATCTGCCTGGTGGAGGATTCCCTCCTTCTGCCCTCCTCTATCCCTTATAGACAGCATTGAGGCTGCTAAGTCAGTAGCAGAACACTTCAGGAATCCAGTTCCCTTCCCCTTGGAGAATATGGCTTCAGAAAGGACATGGGGTGGGCTCTGTGGGAGCCAGGAGGCCAGGTCACCCTGCCATCTTGGTAAGCAGCAGCTGGAGAGAGTGACCATCTGATTGCATCCCACCCTAACTGTCTAGGAGGGACGATGTAGGGTCCTCCATTGTGTAAGGACTGAGTGGGGGGTTGGAGGTGCCTCTTGGCTGCCAGCCCTGTGCTCATGGCTTCTCTGGACCCCCTGGCTTTGGCTCCAGTGGCCTGGAGAAGGAGACTGGTATTTTGGATAAGTGGTAGAGAGCCCTTCACCCCTTGTTCACCCACAAGAAAACGGATTATGGCCCAGGTTGTAATCTGGCAACTGGAGCCTCCCTGTGGACAGCCCTAAAGAGAGTACCATGGGAGACCTGTCTTTGAACACCCTCCTCCGTCCAGCAGTGGGATGGTGGCCCCAACCATCTGAACCCCCTGGTCATCATCCATAAAATGGGTTCATCACCCAGGACCTACCCGTAGGCTGAGCATTAACGTACAGGAGTGGTTTTATTGCAGCCCTCCTAGCCCCAGGCCCAGCAGATTGGGACTGTCCCAGGCTGGGGACACTGCTTGCTGGAGTGGGAGGGGCCACCCAGACAGTTTTCTCCATGGATAGAACCAGGGACAGTGCATATAGATGATTGGGTTCTCCTTGCCTTTGCCATTTTCTGTCTTCCTGCCTTGTCACACCTGCCTTGGGTTTGGGGGTTTTTCCATCTGTAAAATGAGGTGAACTGTGACACAGTCCAGTTTACAGAGCTGCGAAGAGGCTGGGCCTGGCCCTGGGAGCCAGTGTTCTGCGGTGTGGGCAGCACCTCATGAAAGGCAAGTGTGATGTTTCTGGTGTTGTCTCAAGGGACCCCCCCCTTACCCCCCAGAATTCCACTTATTAAAAACTGGGGGGCCTAAGTGAGTAAAGGGACCAGGGTAGAGCCTCAGGTTTTCTATAGGTACTATACAGTAGTGAGGAGAGTGCTCTGTGCCTTTATTCTCTTACAGGGTAATTGTATGTTTCTTAAAGGCAGTTGTGAGGATCAATTAGATGACAAAGGGCTTGTGTGCCAGCATGGTGACTGGTACATGCTACGCGCTTGGTAACTGCTGTCATTATTGCTGTTCATGGGAATATTAGTAAGCCTGATGTGGGCAACTGCATTTAAGATCCCTTCTGGGATTTTCTCAGGCCAGCTTGCTCCTTCCCCTGCCCCTCCCTGGAGAGAGGAGCCATGGCATGAATCCAAAGGTAGGGGCTTCTGGGCTGTTCCAGGGACTGGGGGCAGGGGTTTCTACCCAGCCGAGGTGTGGAGAACACTGCGAGGTGGTTTCCATCACCTCGGGCTGACCTCACAGGGCTCCAAGAAAATTGAACAGGAAAAAAAAAAAAGAGCATTCTGGAATAGTTCCCTCACTCCTGTCAAAAGAGGCAGCATCATTGCCAAGAAAAGTCCCCTACTGAGAAGCTCCCAGTCCAGGCCCAGGATGTTACCTGCCTGATGAAGGGCTCTCTACCTCTCCCCGCCTCTGTCCCTTACAGACAGCATCGGGGCTGCTAAGTCAGGAGCAAGACACTTCAGGAATCCAGACCCCCTCCCCTTGGAGAATACAACCTCAGAAAGGACCTATAGCCAGCTCTGTGGCAGCCTGGAGCTCAGGTCACCCTGCCATCTTGGCAGGCAGCAGCTGGAGAGGGCAACAGTCCACCTGTGTGCCAACACCCCCTGTCCATGAGGAATGATGTGGGATCCTTCAGTGCCTGAAGTCTGAGCTAGAGTCATAGGTGCGTCCTGGCTCCCAGTCCCATGTCCTCTGTCCTCCCAGCCCCACCTGGCTTTGGCTCTTGTGCCAAGGATGAGAAAATTGCTATCTGGTGTCCTGGAGCATTTCCCTGCTTGCCCCATCCATACCTCTTCCTCTGGGATCCTGAGTGAGGATTCATCACTGTCCCACTGTTAAATCAGCTTGCTTTATTTTTCTCCAAGCCTTTGCCACGCTCTCAAATCATCCTATTTATTCATTTGTGCATCAGTTATTATCTGCTCCCTCACCAAAGGTGTCAGCTCCACCAAAGGGCAAGAGCAGTGCACTGCACTTAGAACAGTGCCTGGCACAGAACAGGTGCCCAGTAAACGTTTGTGTGAGGGCTGTCTTTCCCTTGGTGTAGCCTCTGCTAGATGAGGTCTGTGATGTTGGATGATGGAGCCTAGGAGACTGACAGGCTTGCCCTCTCGGGCCCCTGGAGAGATCCCTGTCTCACCTTGCTGAGTGCAGCAGCAGTAGGGCATAAGGAAAGGTGTGTGTCGAGAGAAGGTGGGATTCACCCCCGCGCTGAGAAGTGGAGGAGTTGGTGGCTGCTGTTCTAAGTGGGACATCACCTACTACCATTGCCTGCCAATCCAGGAGACAGAGATGTGCCAGGGAGTCACCCATTTTCTGTGTGACCTGGGCTGTTTTTTCTAACCTCAGTTTCTTCACCTAGGAAATGTGCCTCCTAAAATAGGAACTGACCTTACTGCATGTGGTCATCCATTTGATTACTCAAAAAATAGTTCCTGAACAGCGTCTGTGGGCCTGAGACTACTGGATGCTGAGGGTACAGCTATGGCCGAGGCAGACTCAGCCCCTGAGTGGGGAGCTTGGACTGGATGGGGGGCCAGTGAGAGGTGAGCAAATGACAAAAAGACAGAAGACTTTAGCAGATGGAAATTGTCCTAAAGAGAATAAAGCAGGGTGCTGTGACTGTGATGAGGCAGTGTGGTGGGGCCTGGGATACCTGTCAAGGAGGCAGCAACCTTGGAACTGAGCTGTTCATTGTCTAGAAAGCCCCAGGGGCAGGGCATTGACCTTTGGGTCACATCTGAGCACCCTGCCTAGTGCCCAGCAGGTTCTCAGCAAAGGTTTTAGAATGGAGGGGGGTGGGGGGTAGACAGAGGGAGGAAGGAGGGAGGGGGCCCCAGGCAGAGGAGACAGCACATGCAGAGACCCCGAGCCGGGCCTAGTTCATTCCAGGAGCCCATGCTCCCCACAACTTAGCTGTCTCCCTTGATGGTCTTTGTCTTGCCAGGAGGTGGGGACATCTGGCCTGCCTGGTGTGCCTTGGTTGCCACCTCTCTAAGACATAGGAGAGAGCATGCTCAGCTCTCCCTCCCTCTAGTAATCTTTCAGAGTTGTGCCCCTGGGGCCACCACCTGAGAAGGTTAAAAGGGCACAGGGGTTGCTGGGAGCCCAGCAGCCTGCTTTCAAACCCTAGTCTGCCACGGGCAGGCTGAGTACCACACACTGGATGGCTTAAAACAGCAGAAATTATTTTCTCCCAGTTCTGGAGGCTGCAAGTTTGAAATCAAGCTGTCAGCAGGACCATGCTCCCTCCACATCTCCAGGGAGAATCCTTCCTGGCTCCTTCCAGCCTCTGGTAGGCCTGGACTGTCTTGGGCTTGTGGCAGCGTAGCTCCAGCCTCCTTCACACGGCGCCTTCCCTGTCTGTCTTCACAATGCCGTCTCTGAGGACATTAGTCACATGGGATTTGGGGCCACCCTACTGCAAGATGATCTCATCTTGACTAATTATATCTGCAGCTACCCTGTATCCCAGTAAGTTCACATTCTGAGATACTGGGGGTATCCTTGGGGGCCACAGTTCAGCCTATAATAGGGGAGTTACTTAACCATTGTACCTCAGTTCTCCTGATCTATAAAGTGGGGTGAAAATGGCAAGGCCTATCTCTTGGGGTTGCAGGGAGATCTAGGCCCTTGGAGCAGGACCAGGAACACAGAAGCAACCAAGCAGTGTTGCGATTCCCATTTCCTTAGGGAGGACTTCCTAGGAGCCAGGACCAGGAGCTGAAAAGTG